GAAGCTGACAAGGTATGTGTTTATTTTGTAGTTCATGAGTGAGTAAATATGTATGTAGTGTGTGGAGTGTGTAATGGTGGAGTATGGCTGAATCATCGACTGTCGTTCAACCAGAGCTGCCAACCAACTGGGTCTGTTTTGCGTACTCGGGATTTTGATTTTCTGCACTTGTCAGTGTTTTGCGTGCTACGTGTGCTGACGTGCGTTGTCGGTTTTGACACACACATGCACTTCGCTCCCTGAATTTGTACTGCAAGATAGATGTGACTTGTACCCAGGACAGGATGTTTTGTGATGTCTGAAGTCGTAACATGGCAAGCACTCACTTTGCAAGAATATTCAGTGCTCAGCTTGTGCTTGCCATGCTACTATATGTTAACCCTTTATGTACGGTGTGTACACGAATCGATCACATATGATCGATTCATGATCGATCCGTAAAACCTTCGTAACTCAATTATTTCTTGCCCGAATTCAACAATCGAAGGGTCTATTCGGTAGCGGAAACTCTAAGCTCTCCAATGCAACAATCGCCGAAGAGCTACGATGTACGAATCCAGAGATATCGCGCGCCGTAGTCTTGTCTCAGCAAATTCAAATTTTTTATCGATCTCTTCGCCATTTTAGGGGAAAATCCCTTTTCGTGTGCTCTTTGACCAACTCAACACATGATAATGACGTAGTTGGCTGAAGTTTGAATCGCCTCGAAAAGATTTGAGCGTTTTGCGATAGAGAAGAGTGGAATGGCGTTGATGGGGAAATTTGCTCGCATATTGGGCTTGGAGACGACTTTGATGTGTTATTGCGCCTGATTTGTGGCAGCTAGTTGATGGAGCCTGGTATCCTGGCGTTGCTCTCGCCAGGAGCTTTCCAAAGAGCCCAAGATTGTGGGAATAGAGCGAAGGAGGCCAAAGTTATAGCCTGTTGAAGGTGAAAATTGTGCTGAAAATTCAAATTCTGCTTCATTCTGCGCTGGAAATCAGTACATAAAGGGTTAAAGTAAACAAATTCACGGTTCGCGTGAGACTTCCCTACTTTTGCTCAAATAATTCCGTATTGCGGATGTAGGAGTGATTTTTAGTACAATGGACTTGCGAAACGGAAGAAATCCCTGCAAGGTCCTTGTCAACCTGTGATGTATACCCAAAGTGTGCCCAAGTGCCCATGCCACAGAAGGGCACCCATTGTAACTGTGATCAAAAAGACCATGGCAGCTCACAGGGCTGGCAAATAGGTGACTGGTCTAGGGATTGTCCCTGCCGTGCTGTAAGGGTATCCAGCTCTTCCAGACACGCAATGGCTGTGGGGAAAACTGGTTACTGCCAGGATGTGTAGGGGCAGGGAAGGGGGGGGGGGCTGTGAGGATGATGTATAGGGACAGGGGAAGGGGGGGGGGAGCTGTGTAGGGGCAGGGGAGGGGGCTGTGAGGATGTTTAGGGGCAGGGTGGGGGGGGGGGTATGAGGATGTGAAGGGGGAGGGGAGGGGGCTGTGAGGATGTGTAGGGGCGGGGAGGGGGGCTGTGAGGATGTGAAGGGGAGGGGGCTGTGAGGATGTGTGGGCAGGGGGGCCTGTGAGGATATCTAGGGGCAGGGGGCTGTGAGGATGTGAAAGGGCAGGGGAGGGGGGGGGGCTGTGAGGATGTGTAGGGGCAGGGGGCCTGCGAGGATGTGTAGGACGGGGGGCTGTGATGATGGATAGGACGGCGGGGGGGGGGGGGGGGGCTGTGATGATGTGTAGGACGGCTGTGAGGATGTGTAGGACGGCGGGGGGGGGGGGGGCTGTGAGGATGGGTAGGACGGCGGGGGGGGGGGGGCTGTGAGGATGTGTAGGACGGCGGGGGGGGGGGGCTGTGAGGATGGGTAGGACGGCGGGGGGGGGGGGGGAGGCTGTGAGGATGTGTAGGACGGCGGGGGGTAGGGGGGAGGGGCTGTGAGGATGTGTAGGACGGCGGGGGGGGGGGGGTGGCTGGGATGGTGTGAGGGTTGTAGGGGTGGGGCCTGGGATGGTGTGAGGGTTGTAGGGGTGGGAGCTGTGATGACGTAAGGGTGTGGGGGGGGGGGGGTGTGAGGGTGTAGGGGTGTTGGGGGGGGAGGGGCTGTGAGGGTGTAGTAGTGTTGGGGGGGGGGCTGTGAGGGTGTTTAGGGTATGGGGGGGGGGGGATAGAGTGTTGGTGATAGCTACTGTTTCCTCCTACGAAAACTCCTATTTTGTCGTTATCCAATTTCTTGTCGTGTGTATCTTGTTCTCTCTATTGCTAGTGTGTGCGTACACGTATGTTAACGTTCAGATCTGTGTCGGTGTCTTTGTCAGTGATGTGTGTGGATATGGCAAACCATTCTGCTGATTCCCCTCATTCAGTTGTTGACTATCAGATAACAGCGGGCAGTGTAGTCAGCAGTGTAGTCAGCAGTGTAGGCTGTCAACCCTGTGCACTCACTGAACTGACTATGTGTTTTGTTATGTGTCCAGGTAAAGAAGAAAAGTAAGAAGCCATTGCTGTCATTAGAAACTGGTAAGGGATAAACTGTTGAGTGATTATAATTGACTTTCAACAGGGTACATCTCTCAAACGATGTTGTTCTTGGCATTGTCGTCATCGCTGTCATCATAATCATCAACACTGCTTTTTCATCTTGTGATCAAGATTGATTTATCAATGTAATGTGGCATTTCCTGTTGTTCTTTCACTTGGTGAAATTAACTGAATGCTGTTGTGTTCTCTTCTCTTGTGTTTTGTCTTCATGAATAATTGCCATGGCAACTCAAGAAAAGTGAAAGCAGCTGTGACGATCAAGTCTAGGCTACATAGCCACGACGGATGATGTCTACCACTCGTGTGTGTGTTTGTGTGTGTGTTTGTGTGTGTTTGTGTGTGTGTTTGTGTGTGTGTTTGTGTGTGTTTGTGTGTGTGTGTCTGAGTTTAGATACATGGTATTTTGGGTAATAAGAAGTTTACTTCTCGTGTTTATTTTGCTTCTTGGTTCTCGCAATATGTGCTGAACGTGTTCCATACATTCTATTCGCCATGCTCTTTACAACTGCAACTGCAAATATATTTTCGTGAGTGATTTTCCTTTTCACTATCGTTGTCGTCTGGTAAACAAAATACTACATACTACCTTACTGTACTGTTGCTGATACAGACGTCATGCAACGCTTACTTCCTATACACTTACTATAATAGCTGATCATTGTCCGCCAGCACTGCAGCAGCCTGCACTGTGAACTTAGCGGGTGTTTTTACTTGTTTGAAACTGTTTTCCCTCGAACTAAATTTCTTAGCGTGCAGCACTGGTTGAGTGTGACGTTATTTACATGGATTTAAACTACTGTGTACAATCTACCGTACCACTACGTGTATTAATTTTAATAAAAAAATAATAATATTCGCGGGATTAATTTTATCTCTGGCTTTTTCTTGTTTCCGTACACATGGCAATATTCGCGACTCATGCCTCTGCCTTGGTCTTGTGTACATGGAAAGATTGTTCCTGATGGAATTCAAAATCGTAGAATTTAGATCTTCCAAATACTCACTCATTCTGCTGTCGGACACTGCTAGCTGCAAGTTTGAACTTTGAACTAAAGCTGTAGGCGGATTACTCGAAAGTGCGAGATCGTCACTTCTAAATACAGATTGGAGGAGCCTTGGCGAACTCCAATCAGAGTTCTTCGAGTCTCCTTGTAGCATTCATGATCACTGTCCATGCTTAGAGCACGCACAGTGATCTACATTCGAAAGTGAGATATTAATATTATTACTTGCATGTACGCGTTGGAGTCAACCATGCAAGCATGATTCACAACTTCGCTTATGCTGAACATGATAAACAGGACTATGACAGGGGGAAAATTGAGCTAGAACGATGATTATAATGATATAATTATCATAGCTCATGGGTATTGAAGATATGTCATATGAATATGTGAGATATTCCTTCAGTATTTACCCTGGATCCGCAATTTTAAAGTTAAACAATAATAATTACAACAAGGACAATCAAGGCTTGTTTGCTGCTACTTCAAGTTTCATGCTCACGCAATCATCAGGCAACATGAAGATCGGGTGCCGACCATGCCAGTATATATGCCAGGAGAGGGTGGTATAAAAAGCTGTATGAGACTGTGGGGGCTAGCGGTGGTATTTTAGGCAGGGGCTGTGTGCAGAGTGTGTGGTTGTTGAAGGCATCGGTATGTCGGCGCCACCGTTAGGCAGGGGCTGTGTGCAGAGTGTGTGGTTGTTGAAGGCATCGGTATGTCGGCGCCACCGTTCAAGTCACGCCATGCCAACCACATGACAACAACAAGATACGAGAAGTACTCCAGCAGCACTGAGTTCTCCAACTACATTCTTGAACCTGAAGAAATCCAACGCCCAATACGAAGTCGAATGGAGGATAAAAGATCGCGCCCGAGCATACTCCAACATCACGAAGCGGGGCTCCCTCTGTACGAGACTCGTACCAGAGAAAAGCATCACATCCTGAACACGCTAGGGTCACCATCCAGCCTCAACAAGCGCTCTGAAATGGTGTCCAAGTGCCGACACGAGAACAAGTATCTCCTGAAAAACCACGGTGTCACCTAAACATGTCTCCACAGCCTCCTGCCCGCACCATTCACGTTCACACACCTTGCTCATAACACCCTGCCCACACCAGCCATAATTATACATGTACACTGCGCTAATAATTATCACACTGCTAGCTCTACAGCCTCCTGTATGTAAGCCTCGACCAATATTATGCTTGCGCATATTTCCGCATATTTTTGTGAGACAGTTCATTATGGCATATTGAGCGACAAAGGGAATATTGGAATGAAGCCAGCATATAATTCAAATATTCTGAAGAAAATGAGGACAAAACATTCATATTATGGACAAAATGCATTCAGAAATGCCTTTTATGGATGAATTTGGAATGGTTGAGGCGTTTGCTACATTTCCCCATGGATGAACACTATCGCTACTGTTACTGGGGACACATCCCAGCCATACTATTCCGCATGT